CCCCATCCTCCACCAGCGCTGACCGGCGATCTCTGATCTCCGCCACTGCCCTCCGGCTCCCCGAGAGAGAGGGCCCTTTGCGGTTGCGTGGGTTTCTGTTGGCCTTGCCATCCGCGCCTGTCCACCCACCCACACCACCTCGCATCTGACGAGCACCTCAACGCTCCCCGCAACAGCCCCCCCCATTCTCCCTCTGGGGTGTGTGTGTTGTGTGTGCTACAGGTGACGGGTGGATGTGAGAAGATCTGCATGCGTCAGGGAGGTGATGATACGCATTTTGCAGAAAAAAAAACTCACCCAACCGGCGCTGGCCAAGGGGGCCGGGCTTGTGGTGATCAACACCGAGGGGTGCCGTTTGGGCGGCGCCAAATGGCGTAACAGTGTCGATCACCGCAAACATCCACAGCCATCGGGTACATGTCGCAGTAGCGTCTCTGTGTAGGTGGGACAAGCGCAGTAGCACGGCAGTCTAGACACCTGGGCGAGGAAGCCCCTTGAGCCCTATTCTCCTTGACGATTTCGTCCGTCCTCTGTCTTCTGTTGCTGCTACTGGCAGGAATCCATACATACCGACTTAGGTGTGTACCTAGGTAGGTATGTACTTTGGGCCGTCGCATCTACGTAAATCTGCCAGCGCACAGACTGGCTTGAAAGGCGCAGGCAGAAAGGTTAGAGTAAAGACAGGGTTGGCGAGCGAGCCATGATGCATGTGCCGTAATGGCGGTTGAGGCCAGCCGGTGAAATCTGCCTCTACCCCCGTAATGGAAACGATGGTCGCCAGCTAGAAGTCCGGGGAGGGAAATTCAAAAAAGGCGCTAGGGCGGCATTTCAAAAGGGATAAGGACCCTGCAGATCGACAGCTGCCGTTGAAGTCATCGTCTATGTCATGTCATTGGCCACCGATAACCTACCTGAGGGGGCCGAGAACTAAACAAGCTCACGGCAAATGATGGGCGGCGGGAGGATGGTGGTGCTGTGGCCAATCTTGACCTCATATGAGATCGGCGCTGCCTCTTTCAGTCCAGATGGGTCCTTGACGCTTCGAGGTCTCGGCTCAGTCGAGGAAAGGGGAAAAATGACGAGTGACTAACCTCTCTGGTCGGAGTACTGGTCCTCCGTTAGTTATCCACAAGCAGCTCTTTTCCCGATGCCGTATACAATCATGCGCACATGTGTTATCCAGGGGATGCTTTAGATGACTTGCCCCAAGCGACGGTCTGACGCTTCCCAGGGGTCACTTCTGCTCTCTGTCGCACAGCTTTGTTTGGAGCGAGTCTAGACGGGGTCGATCGAAGGACATTGACGTCGAGCCACCACATGATGTCATTGTTTGGCCCCTGCGCTGTGACCCCTGAGCTCTCGAGGCTCGGTCTCGCTGCCAAGGCGCCCGCGCCCGCGCCCACGACACAGCCTCTAGACGGGTCCCTAAGCCACCTTGCACACAATGGCGTCGGCACACATGTGTGAACAACAAGGTTACAAGGCTGCTTGCAGGTGTTTGGCTGAGCTAGCGTGCTGTTTATGTTGTGGCCGGCCTTTCACTGGCGAGAGAGGCCGTCAACAGTGTATTGTTCCGGTGATCTGTGGCAGGCAGTCAGATAATGCCCTGCTAGCTGCCTGGGAGGCTGTCGTGCAATGCGCCTTGACGTGGGACACGGGATTTCAAGCCTGAGCTGCTAGCTCGTCATTTGAATGGCGGGAGATATCTGCCTGCCCGTCCCAATGCAGGCCAGGTGTCTTTTGCGTCATTGAGCTGAGCCAGGGGTCCAAGATGTGAGCTCATCAAATGCCTGCAAGGGTCGATCCGGAACACGAGGAGGGTATGCAGGTATGCATGGGGAACGCCCTACCTCAGACTTTGACCTCACAGCCCATCAGCTCTTTCGTAACGATACTCGTAGTGATTGAGCAGTGGAGCGGCGGGTCAGACTCCGTGGTCTCAGCTCGACGCCCCCAGAAGCGCAATTTAGCGCGAGTGCTAGCCAAAGGAAAATGGCGAACACCCAAGCGGAGCAGCCGCGGAGCCGGACTCGACCGCCGCCGAGAGTTGCTCTCACCGTGGAGCCTCCGGTGGCAGGCAGGAAAGAACGGACGAAACCCCAGCGAGATTTGATGGGATGGTTGTATGTCATAGGGGGGTGGCTGGGAGGCTGGCTCATTCCATGGTCGACGGCTGGGCATTGCGATATCCAGCAAACACTCAAAGTGCAGGCAGTGAGGTCAGACTGCTTGACTGCCAGCACTGACCCTCAGCTCGTCTCAACGAAGCAAATGAGGCGGCTTGACGTTGACGAACCTTGGTCGGCGGCTTGGCTGCCGTGACGTCACATGTGGCCAACGGGAGACGATCGCTGGAGCCAAGACCGGAAATCGCCCCACAGTTCTCTCAGCCACCGGTGGGGCTATGAGATAGGATCAATTTTGATAATCTTTTCAGGGCTGACGCAGGGTTGAGCCTCCAGTCCAGTGCCGACTAGCTGTGCTGGGATTGCGGCTGTAACAATCGCCAAAGGTGAATTGGAAGACGACACTTCATACTGATACACTCGAGGGAGCCCTTCCGCGATGAGACCCACAGCGGCGGCATTACTGTAGGTGGCGGCTACAACACCAGTTCTGACGCATGCAAGAAGGGTCCAAGCCGCCCTTCCTCCGGATCCGACATGACGTTTTGGCGCCGGCCATTCTTCAGCGACGCCATTCACGGCACGGCAGAGCTTTGTGCCTCGGTCCCAATGGCCGCTTGCAGGACCAATCGGAAGCGGGCGTGAAAAAGGATCCCAGCACTTGCAAGGGAGAAAAACACCAGGCGCTGCGCTGCGATTTCGCAGACTGTGTTTACAAGCTGTCAAATCGAGCCAATCCCCGCCCAGTAAACCTGTGCTAAACCTGTTGAATATCGACCCGACAACCGCACGTGCCTGCTGGATCTAGACTGGGCTACTGGGGGCGATGGGAATTGATACCTAGCAGCTCCAGAGATTCAAAACGATGCCCAATCCACTTCCAAGGCTTCCAGTCAATCTTTACTCAAATCCCCCGGCATGCTGCCAAGGGGCAACAGCCGCCGGCTGCGGACCCAAGCACTCCAAGTTTGGGATTTCCAAGATTTGCCGACGCATTCATCAACATAATATTGCAGACCCAACGAAACAGGTTCCTCTGCTGCCCAACCCGGGTTCGTCCTTGTGGAGAAATTGCCCATACCTGACCTTGTGCCAGGGCCTCCCTCGCCCAAGATTTGTGGACGACCCATACACACACGATGCGGCTCCAGAGATGCCCAGAGCCGAGCAAGTTGGAAGACACGCGAGTGATGCCGGGATATCGGGTCAGGACATGGCGGAGCTGCGGGACCCTTGGATCCTCGATCCACTGCAGGTCATGATCGGGCCGGGCCAAGGCGCTTTGCCGTCACGCTGGACCCTGCCTCGACGGGGGTTAGTTGGTGCGATCGCTTGCTCCGGAGGCTTAGTAATGCATGTGTGTAGAACCGGCCTGGGCGACTGGTTCGGACGGCCAGCAGCCTCAAGGGGCTCCGGTGCTAAGGCCATATACGTTAGCACCTGCCGAGTTCCCAATCACAACCGACGAATGTGGTGGCGGTGAACACAATCAGCCACACGCATTGTGCTGGATCATGCTGCGGCTGCCACTGGGTAAAGAAGAAAGCGAGTGAGTGACTGGAGGGTCAGTAAGAAGTGATGGGTTTTTCTTTACTCGCGTCGGCACAATGAGCGGTGAGCGCTGGCTGGCCCGTCCAGGAGGGGTGACCATTCCGCTTTAATCCTCGTCGTTTGAAAATAGGTGCACAGTAAGTTGTGCTACAGCGTTGATTTCATGTTGGGTTTAAAGAGCCGTACTCAGACTCGTCATGACAGCTTCAGTAGTCCAGTTTGGATATTAGACAAATGTGAAATGAGAATTAGGAGCACTAGTCAGAATGCGCATGTGAAGAATCGACAACCCTCGGTCCAAAGCGATCCGGCAGCTATCCCGCGTGGGGGCTGCTTGCACAGCCAATGCCGCTGAAGTTGTGGATTGAACCCGACTGATTGGCCGGGAATGTCCTTGATTTGCTAGAGGATTTGATTTCAGCCACCCAGGTCAGCCACCGAAGTCAGCCACCCAAGTTAGTCCCTCGCGGGAACCCGCACAGCGACCTTGTGCGGCCCAGACCTCCGACCCCGCCATCCATTGCTCGTTGTCTGGTGGGTCGCCTGTCGGCGGCGCCTGTCGTTGCTGGCATTTTGGCTAGCCTAGTTGGACACATGAGAGCGTAACAATATTGAGATGCAATTTTTATAACATGGGCGATAGAGGCCTCCCAGGGGCATCCCAGAATGCACGTCGGGAGGCAAAGCTTTGCTGGGACATGGAAGCGTGCAGTTACACAGTTTGCATAGGGTGCCCAATTTCGCGCTCTTTCGCGGCTACAGAGGAAGCTTCTGCGGGGAATCTCCGCTTGCAAACAGGCTTGTGGAGTAACGTCACCAGGCTTTCCATTCGCCCATCGAAGCTTCTACAAGCAACGGTGGGCGGCCATACATCAGTCCACAGACCGACCACCTGCTCCCACCGCTTTTGGCCTGCTCATCTTCTCTGGAGCGCGCTTTCTTTGTCTGCTGCCGGCCGGACAGAAACCCAATCCGCTTTGCACACAATCCTCACACCTCGATCCTTTGCGTAAACACGGCAGCCGAGTCGAGACTGCACTCTCCATCGCTCACTCGCTATTAGCTTCCATTGTGAACTGCGCCCAAGCCTTATTTCGCCATCCGCTTCCCATCCCAAGCTATCAGAGCCGGATTGTCCGGCACGCGACCGCCAACTTACAAAGGCCTGCAGAGGCGAGACGAGAGATCAATCAACGAGCCAGCTCAGTGCCACAACAATAGAGATCGCGCTTTGTCAATCCATCAGCCAAACTCGATCACTATTTTAATCGCCGACCTTGGATTGAATTGCCTTTTACCGCTTGTCCTGCTAGCTTCGACAGGACATACTCCGCTTAGGCGGCCTCTCGCCGGAAAAAAAAGGAAAACATCGACGCGAAGCCTTGCGCCATCTACCACAGCCGTAGACGCTAGCAAACATGGTCAAGGAAACAAAACTCTACGAAGTGTTGGGCGTGAAGCCCGATGCTACCCAAGATGAGATCAAGAAGGGCTACAGGTAAGTCAGTCCCCTCAACCGGGCCTCAGTCGTCACATATGGCCTTCCAGGGCCCAGTGCATGAATCGCGTCGTCTCAGTCGGGCTGCATTTACAGTCACTAACACCGGAAACAGAAAGCAAGCCCTGAGGTGGCATCCCGACAAGAACGCCGACAAGCAAGAGGAGGCGGCTGAAAAGTTCAAGGAGTGCTCCCAGGCCTACGAGATCCTGTCAGATCCAGAGAAGCGAAAGACATATGACGCATATGGCCTCGAGTTCCTCCTCCGCGGGGCCCCGCCCCCGCCCGAGGGCGGCAGGGAAAACCCGTTCGCATCGGGAGGCATGCCCGGAGGCTTCGGCGGCTTCAGCAACATGCCCGGCGGCGGCGGCGCCCGCTCTTTCCACTTCAGCACTGCTGACAGCGCCGGCGGGGGCTTCAACTTCAGCGCCCCAGAGAGCATCTTTGCCGAGTTTGTGCGCAACGGCGGTAGCGGCAACAGCGACTTTGAGGACATATTCGGCGCATTTGGTGGGGCAGGCGCCAGGGGTAGCCCCAGAGGAGCTGGCGCCAGTCCCCGCAACCGCGCATCCTACGGGGACCCTGCCGGTGGCAGACCGGTGAGGGAGCGCACGCCCGAGGTCACGACTGTCGAACGGCCCCTGCTCGTGTCGCTCGAGGACATGTACCACGGCGCCAAGAAGAAGATGAAGATCAAGCGCAAGATGTTCGACGACACCGGCAAGCGCACAACCACGGACCACATGCTCGAAGTTCCCATCAGCGTTGGCATGAAGAAGGGTGCCAAGATCCGGTTCAAGAGCGTGGGGGACCAGGAGGAGGGCGGCCAGCAAGACCTGCTGTTTATCGTCGATGAGGTAAGGATATGAAGCCTGCATTATTCCCGCCACAAGAATACGAAGCTGACAAAACCTTTGCCTTGATAGAAAGCACATCCGCTCTACACCCGCGACGGAGACGATTTAGTACACACTATCGAGCTCGATTTGAAGGAAGCCCTGACGGGCTGGAAGCGGACCGTGGTCACGATTGACAAGAAGCAGCTGTCCATCGAGAAGTCGGGCCCTACACAGCCTGGCTCCTCCGACACATACCCCGGCCTCGGCATGCCCCTCCAGAAGAAGCCGGGACAGAGGGGGAACTTTATCGTCAAGTACAACGTCAAGTTCCCCACCTCCCTTACCGCCGAGCAGAAGGCAACACTCAAGGAAATCCTACCATGAGCTGGGTCCGGGTGTGCCGGCAAGGCATTGTCGGGATCGAAGCAACGTGGGCTTTCTTGGGGTTTCGGCACATTCTCCTTTATCATAGCATCAACCAACCAACGGGCGACATACTAGACACGAGCGGCGTGTTTGTGGGACTGGGCGTTTATAGGCGTGCTTGGGGTTGTCTCCTTGTTTTGGTTTTATACATAATCCTACAGCCGTAGCTATTTGGGGTCGTGGGTGGAGTTGGGGCATTAGGTGATTTGATTAGGTACTCTTTTGATATGAATCTATATCTTTTTTGGTACATCCTATCTAAGCATTCGCGTGACTAAGGACTGCCATAGAAAAAATATCACTCAATCGAGCTTCTGAGAGACTGTGAATAGACAGGACGACTGGAAATGAAATTACGCCAAAGCTGAGCTGCTCATGCTGATGTACATCTAATGAAAAAAAAAAAAAATGGCCAAAGCGAAATGCCCTCCTCATGACTCAAGCATGACAACATCCTGAGATCCCTCAATCATATTCCTGTCAGGCTCGGCCTCGGCCGGCGGCGCCAGGCTGTCCATCTCATGCAGGGTGTACTCGACCAGGTAGCTCTCGTCGACCAGCTCCTCCATGCGGCGGTAGTGGCGCTCCGTGTAGGCCCTGAGCGCGTCCAGGACGTCGCCAATGCCGCCAGCGGCACCGGCACCGGCGACGCGGCGCCTCCCGACGGCCAGCCCCGCCAGGCGCGAGGCCGGGTAGCTGCGGACGACGGCGGCGAGCACGCGCTGGGCGACGGGGGCGGTGCGGGCGTTTGCGTTCCAGTCGCGCAGGCGCAGCAGCAGCGTCGAGAGCTGGTCGTCGGCCAGGGTGGCCAGGACGTCGTCGACGGCGGCGCGGCCCGTCAGGCTGCCCTCGTCCGGGTCCTCGGCCCGCACGACCGTCGTGAGCAGCGAGAGCAGCCGGCCAGGGTGGTTGAGCTGCAGGGCCAGCACGATGGCGTCGCGGTAGTGGCCCGCGCGCACGTGGTTCTCGAGCCGCTGCTCCTGCTCCACCAGCTCGTCGGCGGCGCGCGCCGCCGCCAGCTGCGTCGTGGTCGACGTGTCGCGCCAGAAGGTGACGGTCGAGTCCCCAGAGCCTGAGGCCAGGACCGCCGTGAGTGTCGAGTCATCGCCCGGCGCTTCCCCCTCGCCGTTGCCGTTGCCACTACCAGGGTTGACGGCCAATGCCCAGATGCGGTCTGTGTGGTTGTCAAGTGTGCAGACCGCCTCGCCCGAGTTGGCATCCCATACCTTGACCAGGCCGTCGCCGCCGGCGCTGGCAAACTGGACAGGCCGCTTCTTTGCCGCGTCTCCCTGTGAAGCTCCGGCGAGGGGCAACCAGATCACCTTTAGAACACTGTTGGAGTGGCCTTCAAAGGTCCGCAGGCAAGTATAGCTCGACAGGCTCCATATCTTGATGGTCTTGTCACCGCTGCCTGTCAGGACAATGCCCTTGCCAGCCGCTGTGGTGCCGTCCTCGCCCTGGAGGATCGGCATGTCGGCCGGCGCAAACCTGACCGACCAGACACCCCTGCGGTGACCTTTGAGTATACCTTGAACCTCACCCTCCTGTACGCTCCAGATCTTGACAACCTTATCCTGAGACGCGGATGCAAAAAGTTGGCCAGCATTGTTGATGTCGACGGCGTTTATGTCCTTGTCGTGGGCCTTTCTGGTAAAGACTGCCCTTGAGGCCTTCTTGGTTCCCTGCTGAGCCGTCCTGGCAATTTCCCACTTTTTCACAGTGAGATCTTGGGAGCCGGTGATGAGGAAGGGCGGAGGATGGTTTAGGGGATCGGCGTATGCCGCCGAAGATGCCGGTGGTATAGTCTTGGGTAGTCCAACGGCCCCAAGGGACTCGGCGTGGCCAGCGAAGGTTGCGTAGCAATCGTACGAGTTATTGGCAGGGTCGATCCTCCAAAGCCGGGCCGTGTTATCCTTGGCTCCAGTGGCTATCCAGTGCCCCGACCAGTCCGTATCAAGGGCAATCACAATGTCTTGGTGGCCCTTTAGGACAGTCACGTCCTGCCCGAAGTACCCGGAGCCCTCGGTGGCGTCGGCGACAGAGACGATTCTGACATCCTCCGAGTTCGTCGCCAGAGCCATCAGGGACCGATCTGGAAGGAGGTAGCCCAAGTCTATAATATCATCGTGGGTTCCCGATATGCGACGGAACAGCTGCAGGGGCTCCATCTCTGGTATTGTAACTGATTCGACGGTCGGGGTCTGGTAGAGAACGAGCGTGTGGTCGGACTGCACCGAGACAAGAAGTGACTGATCAGGACAATAGAGCGCGTTGACGAACGCCTCTCCTTCGGACCTAGCGGGCTGCTCCCGTGTGACCTCTCGGCCGGTTTCCGTCTCCCACAGCCGGACGCAGCCGTTCCCACCGGCCGAGTAAGTCAGCCGACCGTCATCAAGGAACCCCGTGGCCTCGACCAGCTCCAAGCTCGGCACGATCTTGCGAGATTTCCAGCTCTTTGGGTCCCACCATGTTATAGTCTTGTCGCGACTCGCCGTGACAAGGCAGTTTTGTCTCGGCGAATAGTCTATCCCTGTGACGTCAGAGACGTGCGACTCCAGGTCGCCGACAGCAGCGCGCTTGTGCAGGTCCCAGATACGCACTCGGCCATCTTGGCTGCCGGAAGCGAGACGGAAGTCCAATGTCGCGGCGCCGGACTCCTGGCTGGCCTCCGCCGCCGCCTGCCCCTTTTTGTTCTTTTTGCTCTTGCCTCTGCCACCAAAATCGGGTTTCGACTCGTCCGCGGCCAGCTCGAAGAAGTGAAGGGCGGAGACGAGGACGCTCGGCCCGCGGAACGTGTGCGTAACGTAACCACCAGCAATGTCCCAGATCTTTATGGCACCGTCGGCGGCGCCCGTCGCAAGCAGGGTGCTGGTCCGGTCCACGGCGAGAACCACAACGGGGGTACCGTGGGGTTTCAGGGTGCGCACAAGCGTCGTCTCGATCGATTCGTGGTCAGGCGACAGCCGGAGGGCATAGATTTTCATGGTGAGTGACCGCGAACATATTATGAGGTGTGATACCGAGGGCGTGACTATGGCGGGGAAGGACCGGTATTAGCATTACGGGGCCTGTTGGCGCCGACGAGCAGTCGCGGGTAAAATGCGGCGGCATGAACATACGGATCAGTGTGGATATAGGCTCGCCATCCTGCGCGGTATTGGTTAGGTCACCTAGAGCAGCTCGGGTGGATGGGCAAATACACGAACCCCTTCAATGGTAGCAAAATGCCTGCCCGTGGTGATGTCGGTTAGGACGGCCTCCTCTCCGAGCGTCGACGCCAATATCCGTGCTTTGTTGTCCAATGCGACAGCGCCGCCAGTGAAAATGGGCTGGATGACCTTCTCGGGCTCAAAGGTCGTCTTAAATGCCATCTTTGACGCCATGATTTCGGTGGTAATGCGCCGTCAACAACGACGAGGCCAAATCAGAGGAAAATGATGCGCATCCCACTCCCACGAGCTTGTTCCCCAGAAATCATCGAATTTTTTTTTGGTCGCCAACCAAGAGTGGGGCCGTCGTGCGCGATACGAATTAAGGTTATCTTAGCGTCTTGTGACGCTGCAAGATGGCGGTGCTGGCCCAGCTCAAGTCAACGCACTCCCTTTGCCTTGACCTGTATTCACTCACTGAGTTGCGCGTGGCCGACAATATAACAGTCCACGACACAGGTCACATTCGAAGGGCAGGACACGCTTCCGCTCTGGGCGTGCCAAGAAGAGTCCCTGTCGCCTGGTGGCCAATATGCGACCACTGGGTTGAGTCGCTACACGTCACTTGCAAACCTCCCTATCCAAATCTTGTGGGTCATGACTAGATCTGAGCCCCTCACATCGCTGGCCTTGGTATGTGATAGACTGTAGACGTGTGTCACTCCGCAAAGGAGTCTGACGCGACTTGATCCATAAGCCGACTGACAAGACCAACCCGGCTGTTCAGGGCCGGTCGCCGTACGATGAGGTGCGGATGGGGGAGGGCGAGGGTGATCCCCGGGCGCCAGTCCAGCTGTTTGACGAGCATGGGCGCCCGGTGAACCCGGATGCTAGGCGCCTCAACAGGGAGCTCATTCGGGCCCATAATGAAGTCATGCTTGCCATTGGCGTTGCGGAACCCGACGATGGTGCCGCTGAGAGGAAGGAAGTAGAGGAGCGCGAGAGCGCCAGGATGGAGGCCGAGCGCATCGGCTCAAGGCTATCAGCCGCCGCCCAGCTTGTTGAGATCGCCAGCGCCTGGGGGCTGCATGGCCTGAGGAACCGGGTCCTTGTATGTTGCAGAGCTGCTCTTCCGACAGGCTGGGTCTGTGTTGTGATGTCACCACCCTGCTAACAGCCCGCACGCTCACAGGTCTACAGACGATACTCTGAGATCCCCTTCGCCAATATATACCACTATGAGCGCAGTCGCAGGTCCATGACCAGCTTTTTCTTGGCTGATTTTCCGACATTCCTGACCATGACTGGCTTAAGAATGCTCCCCCAGCTGCCTAGGATGGTGCCTGGACTGCAGACGGCGCTTCCCGGAGTATACAATAGTATAGCGCATAATGATTGGTTAGTCTCGGCACCCCCTTCCTCAAATGTCAATATCAATGTCTGAATATTGACTGACACTGTCGGCCCAACTAGGCTGCCTATCGGTGTGCAATACGTTCGCCTACATGTCCACATCTTCAGCTTCATGCGCCGCCTGGAGCTTGTTCCTCAGACCAGCATATTACCAGGACCTGCATTCTTTATCCCTTTTACATCATCATCGCCAATACCATGCCCGCCCCCTATCAGTTCCTTCTCTCCTGGAGGCATCCTTGGGTGGTTAGGCGGCGTTGCTCTAAGCTTTGCTCCGCTCACAGCCTTCATGCTGTACCTGCGCGCCTCCTCCATCGTGCGCCAATGTCTCCGGCCGTGGATATGCCAGTACCTACCCAGCCCCACAAACAAAGACTCTAGAGATCAGCAGCAGCTGTCAGCGCTCATCGGTGAAGGGGAGCAACACCCATCGGACTGGGACCTCATCGAGCAACAACAGCAGGGCTTACTGGGATTTCCACACGGGGGCGCGGCGGCGAACGGGGGCGATGGCGAGGAGCGCACCCGTGAGCGCACGGCCGCGGCGTCCACCGATCCGCCGCAGGTCCCTACTATCCGAAGGCAGAGCACCATCTCGTCGATCAGGGGTGGGATCGACGACTATTATGACAGCGACGATGAGGAAGACACGGAGCGCGTTAGCGCCACTCTCATTAGTTTTGACGTGGAGGCTACCGATGCTACGGAGGAGGGGGTGTGGTCGGCCGAGCTCCGAGCAGACGCGCCAGCCGACCTGGCCGGCGGCGCTGCGGGGCTAGGTGGCGGCGGCGGCGGCCCCGGCGGGGAGTGCCATGGACAGCAGGCGACAGTCTCCTACAACGACAATGCCCTGACGCGTCTCCCCGCCTCGCTGGCCGCCGACATGCTGACCGTCGTGTCATCCAACCTGCTCCAGGCACCGATGGAGGCCTTTGCGCTGCGGCTGCTCGCGCGCACCTTCCTCGGCCGCAACGGCGGGTCCGTCGCTGATGTGTACGCGCCTACTCCCTGGAGGGGCGTGACGTGGACGACTGTGAGTAGCCTGCTGCAGGTCGAGATGGTGCACCTCCTCGTCAAGGGTGAGGTGTGGAGCATCTTTACGCTGCTCTCGGACGTGTTCCGTGAGGAGATCCAGAATTAGCACCCTGAGGCTCCCCGGGAACTGGTCTATATCGTAGTTGGGTAGCCCACAGGGTGTTATCCACGGAATGGTGACGGGGTCATATCAACCGTGGGGGCTTAGCAGCATGTGCAAGCAGACCTTTTCCATCGACCACACCAACGAGGTCCGCGGTCCCTACGCAAGGCACATATTTCTCCTTCTCTACAACAAAAAAAAGTACTGATAGGGTATTGTCAATCATCCCGGTAACAAACATTGTATAAACATGCCCATGGCCCCAGACAGCCAAAATGCTCACCCATAAGCCAAGCCGATTCATTTCCAGACGCCTTGAAATCATCACGATACTCGTAGACGTAAAGCCTCGGTCCTTAGACCGCTGATGCTCACTTCTTCGACTTTCCGGTGGCCTGAGCGGCTTTTTCGGCCTTTTGCTGGTCGACGACTTGCTTGATTATTCCGTGGAGATCCTCGTTACGCCTAGCTAGGAGTAGAACATCATCGGTCGTGACGGTAGTCCTACCGGCGTGGTTGGAGAAGCTCTCCAGGTCCTTTGCCACGTTTTCTTGATTTGGGTTGGCGAGCACACAGAAGGGGAAATAGTTTTAGCCTTGGTGAGCCGGGATAGGTCACAAGCTGGAGAAATACGAACCGATCTGGGTGTAGACCATGTCGGTGAGGGCACCGATGAACTGCGGCGTGGCGTTTCGCTGCCTTTTCATGGTTTCCTCGTCCACGATCTTGCCAATGGAGAACCAGAGCGCGGCCTTGAGGCGCTGTCATGGGGGGTTCACGGGCATTGACGGGCCTGTCGTCAGCATCGGTAGACAGCCGCACTGATGCTTTGCGAGATTGGTCACCAGTTGAGGCATTATGTGACCCTCGGCATGGTCCGTTCTTACCTCTCGTGTATCGCCCTCCTCGGGCATCTTGGGAATTGTGAGTATCTGTGATCTGGCGAAGGCAGGCGCAGACCACGATCCAATTCCGTTGCAGTTGGACGCGCTCCAGGGTTGATCTTCTGGCGATATGGTGAAGGTGCTCAATGAAATTGGCGTCTGAGTCGTGAACCCCCCCGCTGGGGCCCGCAAAATTCAGGCTTTCGGCAGCTGGAGGCTCCAGTCAACGGGATAAGAATTGATCGAGAATGCTTGATGGAAGGCACACCGTGGCACCTTCTGGGCAGCGGTTGGACGCGTGCGGGTAAGATTGCCGACCCATCGATGTCCGTTGCATCCATGCATGGGTCAAAGAGAAAGAAAAAAATGTCTCAGGGACCAAAACGCCGGCACATGCACAACCGGAACTCAACATGAAGTCTAAGCTCTGACGGTAAACACATCATTCTGTTCTATTCTCCGCTTAATGTTATTGGTATAGACTTGTAGCTTCTTGTCCCAGCCTTCTCGTTTCCTTCCTTCGGCGACACCTTGCGAAAGCACGCCCGTACGGACCACCTTAATACTCCAAACCCACCTCGGTCGGCCGTTTCTCCCCCACGATGGACGGCATCTACGACACGGCCGCCATGGTCGGCAACCGGGTCAAGACCAACCTGGGCTCGTCCTTCACAAACATGTCGGCGCAGCAGTGGATCCGGCTCGTCGCGGTCGTGGGCGCCTACATGCTGCTGAGGCCGTACCTGCTCAAGCTGGCCGAGCGCACGCAGCGCAAGCAGCTCGAGAAGGAGGAGGCCGAGCGCGAGGCCGAGGCCGCGCAGCAGCGCGCCGCCATCTCGCCCAACGAGCTGCGCGGCCGCCGAATCGAGATCCCCGACGACAGCGATAGCGATGACGACGGTGGTAGCGGCAAGCCCGCCGTGGCCCAGTGGGGCAAGAAGGCCAGGCGGCGGCAGCGCGCCGTCGCCCGCAGGATGGTGGAGGAGAGCGAGAGCAGGCTCGCCGACGCCGAGGGCGACGAGGACGACAAGGACATTGAGGAGTTCCTCGTCGGCTAGGCGCGGGGGGGTTGGGTGGGCCGCCAGGGGACGTAATGATCCCCCCATGCCGTCTTTGCCGGAGGGTACCTGTGGCCAGGCTGGGAATGTGCAGTGAGGAGCGGGCTGGGAGTGGAGGAGGGCTCGACGGCCCGGGCTGCGACTGCGAGCACGGCGCGCCCCAATAGTGACGGGGCTGGGCGTGCCTTTGCGGTGCTTGTCTGGCTCCAATCACCACCTGTCATGTGCCGGCGTCCATCCATGTGATTGACGCCATCACCACCCCGCCCACCTGTGCGGATTAAGCCGCTGTGCGGAGGCAGGGGTAGGAGTTACTTGTACCATGGTGTACTTTTTTGTATCTCGGCAGCATGGGTTTCGTGGCGGCCCCCAGGCAATGCATTTCGACTTTCTCCATCTCACTTCCCCTTTTGTCGCTTTTGATGTCGCTGCCCCATTGGCGCCCTCTGGCACCGCGTCGACCCTCGGGCATGTCGAAACGAGGGCGGTGCCGGCGGAAAGTGTATCCAGATAACGTGTGCTGCTGACGCCTACTTGGGAACCAGCCTACCTACTTGTGCGACTGGAGCTTGTGTTTAAAAGACACACAAAACAGCTTCGGAATGGGGGTTGATTGGGCGCGGCTACGAGCAGGCATCCGTTTTTCCTGGAAAATGCCACGCAAGGCATGAAAGCACCAACCACGTTCCCCCCCTTATCAGCCGCCCTCAATACCCATCCTCTCAAGCGACGGCGAGTATAGAATCTCGAGACACCAATCGCAGCCTGCTGTGCTGTTACACGGCTATCGAGACATTTGAGGGATCCAATCCCGTCGTCGTTGTCGTCGTCGTCGTTGCTTTTTCGTGGACCAATGACCGCATCGCGTGGAGCGGCAAAGCAACAAAAAACGGCCGCCGCCTATCACGGGATTCCTAAACGAGGCTGAGCCGGGGGCGATGCGGAGGGCGGCTTGCGGGAAGGGGGTGAGGAGTGAGATGGGAACGTCTCGGCGGCACCACCCGAGTAAGTCACCCAGTTTGCGGCTGAGATAGGGATGAGTTCCCTCCCTGGCCCGTTATTCTAGTGACTCGTCACCCTCCTTTATGAGCTGGAATCCCTTATAACCGCCATATGTTATCTCCCAGCAACCACGCCGGGTTGTTTTTTGCTACACACCACCATTGTCCACCTCCCCAATCCCGCCACGCGCGCTCCGGGCCCGACGACGACGCTGTGCGCCCACTCGCTTCCTTTTACCAGATATCAAGCGAGGCCCAGGCTAGCGCAGACTTTCTTCATGGAACGTCCCGAGTTGTTTTCGCACCGCCCACCAGCCAGCCAGCCAGCCAGCCAGCATTTCCGAGCTGCTCGCTTGCGCGTTGTCGAGGTATGAGTTGCCTCTTTTGCCGCGCGAGGGCAGTGTGTACCTCGCTTTGTTGCTCGGTAGCCCCCTTTTTGGAGTCAACTTTTGACCAGCGAGAGTGGCTGGGAAGGGAATGCGTGCGCTCGGGGGCACGGCGTCGTCGCGCTGTCGCCTCCTGCTGGCAGCCGGGCCCACTGTGTTGTCAAGGCGCAGAAGGCAGTGGGCAGGCAGGATAGACAAGACTGTCGTCACCCGCCAGATGCACGCGTCCGGCTTCGCCAGCATCTTTCGCTTCTTCCTTGGGCCACCAGCCCGCCCGCGGCCGCCACCCACGACGCCATTGTTGTGAATCCATGCACCGCCGGGATCCCACACCACATCACGAAATCGACAGTCTCCCAGTCTCTTCTCTCTCTCTCTCTCTGGGTGCCCGCGTCGTTTTTCGTGTCCCCCTGCGTGGTGATCTATCGACTGAGGCTGGCGCGCCCGAGGGGAGAGGGGGAGGGTGAGTCCGAGAATACTCTCA